ACTACTACTACTACTACTACTACTACTACTACTACTACTACTACTACTACTACAACCATAAAAATGTCAGACTCCTCCAGCTGCCTGGAAGCGTTCATGGAACATTCCAATAGCCTGTTGATCAACATGAAATCGCGCTGCAATGCTCCTTTGACTTGCACCAGCGATGACAATCTCAGTGGCACAGTTGTTCTCCTCAGTGCCCAACCTTGGTACACAGTTGGGACGAAAATAAAGAGATCAATAATAGAACTGAACGTGCATTCTTCCACTTAACAGGAAAAATTGTATGGGTTTAACGCCCCTATCAACACTATTAGGTTGTTTAAGGGGCGGGACCTCCTAGTTTAACGTCCGTCTCCGATAGGACCGAGCCAAGTGGGAAGTTCGTGTAAAGTGTCTTTCCCAAGGACACAACGTCGGACCGAGCGGAGGCTCGAACCCCCGAACCCGTAATCTCACGATCACGAGTCCGGTAGCCTAACCATTAGGCTACCGACTCCACTCTCGTAACAGTGAAGCAGTGAAGTGGTTATATTATGTAGAGCAAAATCCAGTTGATTTATTGCATAGGCCCACAGAAACCACAAAATAAAGAAAATGATGTTTTACCACTTTTATGCATGCCACAAAATGAGAGGTGACAAACCCAACAAAAGAATGACTTTGTGAACTTTTCATCAAACACAGGATCCCCCCCCCCCAAAAAAAAAACCCCCAAAAAACCAACAACAACAACAACAAAACAACAACCCAGGGCAGTGTTACTGAAATGTCTTTAGGCCATTCCCAAATGGGGGATATTAACATGTTCTTATGCACAGTAGTTGTAAAGGGGCTGATTTATCAATGACAAGCTCATACTGTGCCGGAACAACATAGGGGGAACTGCTGCTTTTTCTTTCCTCATCCTTACTATCGTCATTTTTTCCTCATTTCTTTTGTCACTCTTGTGAACTGCTATTTCCGGTGTGCCTTGATACTACTTGATAGTCGAAGCAGACTTTGTACTGTTGAGGCTAGAGAGATGAGCAGAGTAAGCCTGGTTCCCCGTTTGGAGTTTTCTGCTGACATCCACCCCGTGGCGCCCATGTGACCTTATGCAGTTGCGAGCGCCGTAAAACCTTACTAAAACAAACACAACTCAAAGCGTTTTCTTCCTCGTTACAGTGAAGTAGTGAAGTGGTTATTATATTATTATCTAGAGCAAATCCAGTCGATTTATAGCATACAGAAATTACAAAATAAAGAAAGTGATGTTTTATTTTTATCCCGTTTATGCATGCCACAAATTGAGAGGTGACAAACCTAACAAAAGAATATTTACTTTTGATACCGGACGGTAAACAAGAGGGGCTCACATTGTGAACTTTTCATCAGACTCAGGGATTTGCATAACGCAGTGTGCGCTTGACAAGTGGGGCGTTTTTAATGGAGGTGAATATACATTACGACAATATGAGTGTGTGTATGTATGTGCATGTGTTTGTGAGTGCGTGCATGCGTGCGTGCGTGTGTGTGTATGTGTGTGTGTGTGTGTGTGTGTGTGTGTGTGTGTGTGTGTGTGTGTGTGT